GCGGGCCCGCAGCCCCCGGCCGCCCAGCCCTCTTGCTGCAGCCGCAGCGGGGTTACGGAAAGCCCTGACCCGCCTGCCGAGGGGAGAGTGCGTTTCATCGGAGGCGAAAGGGCAAGAAGTACAGCGATGGGAAGAACGAGCTGGAGATACTGACCAAAACAAATTTAAAAAAAGGAAAGAATGAGAAATTTGGCTTTACCTGCTTGGTGTCTGCCAGGAAGCTGTATGCATTTGAAAAAGTAAAGCTATGACTAATGGATACATGGCTGCAGAAAATCCATTTATAAATGACCTGTTGCTGATGGTCGTCCAAAAGAATATACATGCCTACTGGAGCTACCCAGCTCCAAAGCAGTAAACTGTGGAAATTCGTAGCACAACAGCTTTGGGATCACCTACCTTCATGAAAGACATCCCCTCCTACTTGGAGCGTCCCTTCTTGCCTGCGTTCTGTGATGTGCACAACCCCCAAAACTGGCCCAGTCTGGGAAACGTGGGTTCAGTACCATCCTACCACCAGATTATAGGTTATCGCATGCATTGCAGGTTATCGGGTGGGGGTAAATGCTCCCCACCCAATCAATCAGCGCAGCCAAGAGTGCAAGGTTAATTTGGCCAGCAGATGAAGCAAGACTCCAAAGGGAGCAGGGTGTCCTGGATTCCACTCCCTGCTTCCAGGCCTCTTCCTGCTACCCTAAACAGTCAGTAGAGTACAGCAGTAGAATAGGCTTGCCGCAAGTCTTGGCAGCTTTAGTTACAGCTGCCCTTTTAAGGCAGCTATATCTTCCTATTCAGGGTATAGAAAATGTAGGCGCATAAAACAGAGCTTTGGGTTTCTCCTGGGGAGGGAGGGAGAGACATCCGATTTGTACCAGTTTTCTCTTGGTTTCTCCCTAGCAGTATTAGGGAAAATGTAGTGTAAGTGTAACAAAACTGCTTCAGGAAAATTATACTAAGTGACAAAAGATCCTTTTAGAAAAAACAGTGCCTGGAAGTGCTGAAAGTATTTCCTGTCTCTTCACTGTAGTGAGCATATTTTCAACATTAGCAAACATAGTGACATTGAAGACATGAGTGGTGCACTTTGGGCACTTTGACAATTATCTAAAATTTATTTATTTTAGAATATTCAGATTTGTAACATTAAATGGTTGCTTATATAGGTTACTATGTAGTTATTGCAAAATTAAAAATCAGAGGAAGATCAAAAAGTTACGGTCTCCTGCTAACAGAAGATTTGATGCTATTAATTATGGCATATTGCCTGTCCATCACAGAGCCTCTAATCCCACCAGTATGAGAGGTGCAGCAATAATGGAAAGAAGCATCAAGATGTTCCAGCTGTTTGATAGTTTTCAGTGATAAGGCAAAGTTGCAAAACTCCTCTAATGCTTGGTGGCACAGCCAAGTTTGCCGTTCAGGTACAAACAGGACAAGACCTATACCAAATTCACAATTTTATATGGCTTCATCCTGAGGAGACATTTCCCATAATCGAGAGTGTCCCTTTAAGTCTTTGCCAGCTGGAAGCCTGAGGAGCCTTAGTTGGCCAACAGCCTTTGAAATAATTAAACAATTCTGCCTCCAAAGCACTTCTCTTTGAGCCAAATTATAGGCATTAGGATAGCAACAATGCTGGCTTTGCCAGCCAGAACTAAAATTAGGTTTATGATTTATTTTACAACTTGTTTGGGTGCTGAAAAATAGTGCCAAATCTGTACACAGATTCCCTGAGCAGTATTTATGTGGGAGAAGAAAAGCTGGAAGGTAGAAAGGCAGGAGGGCAGAAATGTGTCACCTTTGCTTCATTGCTATTCTGCTTTTTTTTTAACATGCCGACCTCCCTCTGCTAGGAAGGGGAAGTACGTTCTCTGAAGTCTATAGCTATGGCATCTCTTCTTAAATGTACAAACATGTTTCAAATACTCTTCCAAGGACATTAAAGGAGACTAGCTTGTTTCGTACAGCAAAATATAAGCTGAGGAGTGTGATTTCAGTTTATAAAATAAATATCGGGAGGCAAAAAACTGTCGCTTTAAACGCTGAAGCTTGATAATTTTTAAGACATTCTATGATGAAGTTGCTTGTTGGAAAAGACTAAACTCATTGACCTAGGTGGTCCTTTCTCAGCCTATGATTTTCTAAAAGCAACTGATTTTTTTTACATGCCTTTCTATTTTTCAGGGTTCAACGGTATTAAGCACAACCGGCTTCAAGAAACTGAGGATTCTTTTTTAAACCTCTGTCCCTCAAGCCTCTTCTGAAGTCTTTAAAGAACATATCTGACTGACGGTCTACATACTCTGGTAACCTTTTCCATGCCTTCTTCCTTATTTGGAAACCCAGGTCTTCCTTGCTCAATGTTTCTTAAGAAAAACAGTAAAACCCTGGATGTTATTAAAACGAGGGTAATATGACCAGCCCTCTCCATTTAGCTCTTTACACTGATAAACCTGTGGATCCATGTTCTAGGAAAGCATAATCAAAAATGGAGTAAGCAGTACAAACTACACCCACAAGGTTGATGAAACCGGGGCGGTATCTCAGCAGCCACCAACGTCCTGTTTGTTCCAGTCCAAGCCACTACCCTGCCTGTAACTCTTTACCATATAATGAAATAAATCTCAGCTGTTCAGAGCTTTCCCTGGCACTGTTGTCCTCCACACTCACACGCTAGGTGTACACGGGCCTCGGCTGGAGGCTGGGAGTCTGCAGAACAACCTGCTGTGCGCTGCGGTCCCACCTCTGCACCTCTTGCATTTAGTACAGAGCACCTCATGTCGTTTATATATAAAGTTTTGGGTTGTTTTTTTTTTTCTTTCTCTCTGCAGTTCAGGCAAAGGTCTTTGAAGCCAATCCTGAAAGCTCTAGAAGCAACAGAGACTCCAGACTTTCCACAGAGCCCGAAAGCCACCTCCTTAATTTGGATTTCTTCCCACCTCCACAATATATCACCTCCCCACTCAGGAGGGGTGACTCAGTCTGTTTTTCACAGTTTCAGTCCCGCCTTCATAAAAACATGTAGATATACATATAAAATCATTCAAAAAAAGCACAAAATTATAGCAAAACTCTGTTTAGAAATACGTCGGTGCAAAATTGCCATTTCTCCAGCTTGAGTGATCTTGGTTTTCTTTCTTGTGGATAGCTTAGAAAGTAATTTCTGGCGTGAACACTAAAATATACAAATGTTGAGTATTTTTCAGGATGAAAATGGTTTGAAAGGCTTCAATAAGCTGTGCATCTTTTTACATTTTTTATCTGCTTATAGAACCAGAAATTGGGTCATTTTACTAATGAAGAACATAAGGTATTGTAACAAGAGACTGGTTATAACAGCGCGGCGGACTTAGGTTCGCACATAGTGTTGTGAGACCAAAGCTTCAGTGCCTCTGCTAGGTCTATGTTAAGTGATTTTTTTTTTATATTAACATGGAATCCCGAGTCATAGTGCATCAGAAGTATAAACAACATGAGGAGAAACGTGCAAATGTAACCACTTTGGCCTCCAAATCCAGGTAATTCAAGACACTGGGCTTAGTTACAAGACATAGTATCTGCTTCCACCACTCTGGGCAGGATTTTGTGAACTTATTTTCCCGATGGTAAACCCTTTATTTCTCACGCTAGTGAGGGTAAAAGAGAGTAAACTCGCACACTGGGGAGAGTAAACGATGCAAACACAGGCGGACCTCAACACACAACCCAGAGAACCCGGCTAGCCTGCGACGCTCAGCAGGAGAAGTGAAAAGCACGGGCAAAGTAGGCGTTTTTGAACCCCTTCCCTCTGAGGTAATCCCGGCTGTCGGCCACAGCCAA